TCATAGATGGTTTATTTTTTACGCACGCTCTGTTCAAAGTTTGTCCATTTTCACTTCTCTTGAGCGTCTCTTGCTTGGGTTTCGGTCGAACCTCTTCTGTGGCCGTTTTCTCGAAAATAAAATAAWATTTTCGAAAACCAAATACCCAGGGATCCATATCTAATAATGGCCTATCTAACTTCAAAAGAAGAGCGAATTTGATTTTTTGACCCTTGCCACCATTTGTTCGATTCTTGTGGACATTGCCTCTTAAGAAGACGATGAACAAGACCAGTATTTTTCACAATTATTTAATATGTTTAGCTTGCCAAAATACTGTATGTCACTTTATGTAAAAGACATTGCCCATTGAGAAAAGGTGAATTAATGAAAAAGTTTGACTATTAAAACTAGAACTATTTGCACCATGAATTTTCGCTCCGCCTCAACGTTCAATTCAATTCAATTTATTTATTCATTTTTTCCCCTAACTTTTCAAATTCTAAAATCCCCAACAGACTATAGAAATACAATCACGATATCGGCCAAGTACAAAAAGTGAATCAAACTTAGTATTTGAGGATTCAAACTAATAAAAAAGAGATTATTTTTACCTGATTGAAGGGCATTTTACTTGCGATTTTCTCCGCCAGATCCTCTCAGTTCGGCGTATTTGTGCCTTTATGTTTAATTCTTCCATTCCAAGCACCTTGACTGTTTTCAGCTATCTTAAAACCTCTTCTTTTTACTGGTAAACAACTGATTCCAACTCAACTGATTCTCTCAAGCTTAAAGTTTTTTAAACTTTTGACTCAGTGAAGTCAACAAGCTTGTTCATCGAAAATCCGGCTCTTTCGTAAACGAGTCCAATCTACCTTCATTTTAGATGTCCATTAGATAACTTGTCATTTTGAAAACACTGAAGTTCAGGTCAGAAGTACGTGTTCTTGGGATACAGCAATATTAACTGTATTTCAGTTTAGGTGAGAATTGTGGAATAACTTACAGTCCCATCTAACTGCAATAGCTTGCAATCAACTCCAAAATGAATGAGTCTCAATCGAGCGACCATTGTTTTGAATTAAAAACAAGCTTGAATGATGTTGTTTCAGCTGAGTATTTTTTACATATGCTGTTATAATGGATTCCTTCTAAATCCTTTCAGAATTTCTCAAGGAATTCCTCTAACGCATTTTCTCGTAAAATTGAAGAAAGTTTGGTTTGTCACTTCTCTTGTGTACCCATGACATCACTACAATCTGACCAATCAGGAATCGCATGCTAAAATAGCTCAGGCTTGCGCGCGGAGCTAAAAATAGATTTTCAAGAAACTTTCATGGGTCACAGGGATATGCTCTCTTACTTCATATTCTCTTGATTAAAGTTCAATTAAGGTGGCTGACTACTATATATATATATAATAAACAGAAAATTGATTTTAAAAATGCAAGGAAAAATAGGGTGTCCCGAGCTTGTTTTTGGGATAATCACTCCGGAATGCCATGCATTTTTACAATTTTGGAAAAAATAGCGAAAATCAAACTCTGTACAAAAAAAATCATTAAACCGAAACTAAAGGAAGAAACATGAGTAATTTTCTCCGAACACGTAACTTAGGCCCCGTCCACACGTATCCGGAAACTTTTATATCCGCAAATTCATTTTTGCGGATACGGGTTGCGTCCACATGTGATAAAAGTTTTTTAAATGAAATATCGCAAACAATGGAAAAACGTTTTTGTTCAGGTTCTACGGTGTGCAAATTATCGTAAAAATTGAGCACAAAACAAACAGAACGATTTTTTACATTGTTCTAATGAACAGAATTTTCTTAAACTTTGAATAATAATGGGATATAACTTGTTATTACGGAAAATAACAAAAAAATATCCCCGTTCAAAATTTGAGGGTTTTGCGCTCTTGAAGCTCAAAACGTGTATGGTTCTTCAATAAAATCTTGTAGATTTTTCAGCGGTTTTTAAGCGCGCACATCGTGGGCTCAAATCGAATGTTCAAAAGAAGTCAGCCACCTTAACGTAATGAAAACATCTCTCATATGAATTTCATAGTGCCTTATTATGACATTCAAATTTATTTTTCAATGAACGAGCTGTCGTCAGTTGAAGATAGCAGATCTTAATATAGTGAAAGAAAAAATTGCCCGGTATTTCTTTTAAAATGAAGGCTCTAACTGTCTTTTCTTGGTTTGAATAATTTTAATCATGGGGATATTCAAAGCTGCATCTTTTCTAAACAATCTTAATATAAATTTTATTGTAGTAATAAATGTCAAAATCATCGACGATACACGTTTGGCACCCGATCAGCGGCCAACATCTTAAAGCATGATCAACCTTGAATAGCCTTCCTTCCTGTGTTTTAACTTTTTCGGATGAAAGAAAATTAACACTTTTATTCGTATTCTCAAGATTTCCGTTTTTCTGTGCCTACAAAAGTGATACGATTCATGTTATAACTAACCGCCAGTATTTTTACTCTTATTTTCTTGGTAGTGGAAAAGAAAAGGCTCTACACGGCACTTGTTGAGCGATATTGTACGACTAGAAAACTAAATCTAAAACTAGGCGAAACTACGAACTAAAGGGTGGTGAATAGCGGCTAATTCAGTAAATGAAATCAAGATAGTTTTACAAGAAGAATGAACGTAAATTTGTTATTTCAGTAAGCTTACGACGTCAAGTTTGAACTTATCTGAATCGATCGGGTGAAGAGGCCAGTGGTTTTTTCGTTGACGTTTTATGCAGTGTTCTAGGCTCATCCGCTCTTGAAGTGTTTCCATATTTCAGGAATATTTCATTCAAGCTTGAATTTAAATGCATTTGTGGATAGGAGAGTGGGCAGTATCTTTTGAGTCGAAAGTGTGTCTTCATGACTTCAGTCATTGTGCATATGGCGGCCTGCTTCAAACAGTCAAAACGTTGAAAAGTGATGAAAAACTATCCATATTCAGCGAAGCGTTATTTTTCAAAGCCTCTCATTCAATTAGACTGGAAAGATTTTCAGTTTTTTTCCCAATAAAAGGCAAGAAAATAAACGGAAGACGGTAGTATTTTTCATCTTGGTTGCGAATATCTTGAAGTCGAATCAATGCAGTTCTCGTTTGACATGCGCTGTCAGCTTTACTTTTTGTTGCTTTGCCTCTGTTTAATCTTAATGCCTTGCCATATAATAAAGCAGATTATCGCTCAAAATTGAGCATTTCATAAAGTTAAACTCGAGATCTGAAGAAATAATGCAGTTTTCTGGAGAAAAGGATCATGGAAAGGTGGCGCTAAAGGGATTTTGGAGCCAAACGATGGCTTAAGGTGGTGTTACACGGACCAACTTGCAACGCCGACTTTTTGCGCAACACTGTTGTACGAAAAATCGTTGTCGCGTAACATAGAGCCGAGGACGATTTTTCGCGCAATTTTTCACTCTGTTTTTGATCTGGCTTCAAAAACTTGCAACACAAGATCAAGCAAATCGATGAATGTAACATGTCCATCGCCGATTTGACGCGCAACAAAATGGCGCCGACTGTAGAAGAAGTAAGTTTAAAGAGTACAGCAACTGCAACGATTGTCTAAACCTACTGAAACAGACAAGATAAAACTTTCGTAGTTGAAAAAAAATGATAAAAGCAAGAAAAGAAGAAAAAGATAGCCGTGGGTGAGTTGGCAGCGCGTGGACTGAATACTAAAGTAAATGTTGCGCGAAAAGTTGTTCCCGTGTAACATGTCGAAATAAATCCAACACACAAATGACGCAATAGCGTTGCACGAAAAATCGGTGTTGCAAGTTGTTCCTTGTAACACCACCTTTAAATTTTTTTTTTCGGCGATCGAACACGAGTGGTGCCGTCGAGCTCGAGTCGCCAGCGATTCTATTTTTATTTACCTAGTAGGCTAATTGTTCAAAAACTGTTTTAAACAGCAAAACCATCAAGAATGACGTTAAATGCAATTAACAACGACACAGGAGCGAGGTATTTTTATTTTTTAAAATTACATATTTTTTCGTCCCATACATTTACTGTATTTGCTATCATACACACCACAATTAGATTGCTTGGCTGCCTGTGGTTACAAATTGTTATAATTTGAGTATTGCTTTGAAAGCTTGACGAAAGTTAGTACTTTGATAAGCATAAAGGAAAGGGTTGCACAAAGACTCCAAAAAATACAAAACACTGGTGTACTTTACTAAGCTTCTGTTAGCATGTCGTGGATCAATACTTTTTAATATTACTGCAATAGTTACTGGGAAAAAGCAGATGACAAATGTTATGGTTATCGAGAGAGAAAGCTTAACGAGTTTTCGTTTATTTAAAGTTTCTTGTTGTGCTGCTAAATTCTTTGGCCCTACTTTGTTCTTGAAGTAAACCTCATGAACGATCTTGAAGTAGCAAAAGCTGATGGTGATGAAGGGAACTGCGACGAAGAAAAATGATACATGTAGAATATAAATCAATGGAAATAAATCGAACAGGTTCGTTATGCATAAATTCCTTTGGTCTATATTACTGTATTTCCCATAAATGTACAAAGGCAAGGTTGCTAAACCTGCACAGAGCCAGCAACTTCCAATAGCGTATTTAACGGTGTCCTCTCTCAGTCTGAATCCTGTCTTCATCGGCTTCACAATAGCATGGTATCTCTCTACAGACAGTACAACAAGAGTACAAATTGCCGCGAAACTTGCTGTGAGAGGAATGTTGAAGGAAATGAGAAACTTGCACAACATATCGGCTACAACACCTTCGTTAAATTTGACATATCTTTGGGTGAGCATTAGTGGCAAGAAACACAGGCTGACGAGATCCGAGAAGGCAACATTGACGAGAAGGTAGTTCGTAGTGGATCGTAGGAATCGCTTTTTCCACACTGCTATGACGATTAACAAGTTACCAGCAACTGCGATAGAAACGAGCACGCATGCGAAGATGGAAAAGAGGAGGCTTTTGTCCATCTTCTTCTGAAATTATCGGAAAGTGGTCCAAACCTGAATCTAATGTAGTCAATGTAGAAATAAAAGTGATAAAGAATCATGTAACACCTGCTAAAAATGTTTGTCTGACTGGAGCAAAGCCTCTGCTTTTATCGTTCGAGAAAACCAGATTTTTCGTACAATAGGTTGTTATCAATATACATAATTCAGTCCGGCGTATCGTTTTGAAATGTCACTAGCTGAATGACAAGTTACAAATTCTGCCCTTCTATCAATTTTAATAATGAGCTTCATAATACTATTTCAATTGAATTACACCAAGCAATATCTACGCAAAACATTTTTATTATAATTAAAAAGCAGAACAAATAAAAGCGAATATAGAGATAAGAGAGGGTTTGAAATAGAAAAATTTTGACTGCCCGTGTGGTCCGGAATCTAAGATTGAATCTTAAGTTTGATTGAAAAAATGATGAAATCGTTTTTTTTCTTTATGAAAGCAATTTAACTCATTGGGAAGGATAAATATAGGTTATCGTATGGGGACGATCAAAATTAAGGATTCATTTCAAGAGTGTTTTCAAAGATTTTGAATTGCCCGATTCAAGCGACGAGTGAAATGAATTCTTAATTTTCCGAGGAACCATTACTTATCATATACAGGTCAAAATTGAACGACAAAATTCCATGTCTTTTAAGAAAGCAATAATTTTCTTTTAATTAGGCTCCTAATTAATAATAATTATATTCATAATAATAATAATAATGATAATAATAATAATATATGATTATTATTGTTATAATTATAATAATATATCGATATAGTGATATGGATAACAAAGATAAGAGTGCCGAGTATTGAGCCTTGAGGCACACCAACAATTATGGGCTCAGATTCTGATAATACTCCTTAAAATCGAACAAAAGAAGATCTACCAAAAGGATTCTCAAAACAGATAACTTATGTAGCAGTATAGAATGATCAATACTATCAATATCAATAAAAACTTCCCCTACCATATGACCTTGATCTATGTTAATAATAGTAATAATAATAATAATAATAATAATAATAATAATAATAATGTCTTTGCTTGTATATGTAAAAATACATACAATACATTTATATTACAATACAACTGTTCCTACGTATAGTGTCTGCAAATAATAATGCCGCAGTCTCAGTGGAGTGTGCCTTCCCAAAGCCACATTGAAGTAGGCTTAAGATCTTATGTTGACTTAAATATTCATAAAGCTGAGCGTGAACTGCCTTTTCTGACAACTTAGACGTGGGGGGAAGAATAGAAATAATAGGTCTATAATTATCCACATCTTCAGCCTTGCCTGTCTTAAATAAGCGAATAACACATGCACTTGCACTTGCAGGTTATTAATGACTTTAGTTTTGGATTCTTGATTTCATTATTCTACCTATTCGAACACCCATTCATTATTGAAAACGAATCTTCAAAACCTAGCATATGCTAAAGCCAAGCATATAAGCATCTGAAAATCAAGAGCAATACTAATAATAATATAAGCAATCTACACCGCCACAGCCTAGTCAAGAAAATGACGATGTCAAGATTCTATGGGACATCCCATGGCACATAGCGGAAAGCCCCAAAAGAGGGAGCAAACAGACCTGACATTAGTGTGCATGACAAGAAAAACAAAGAATAGATTTTGGTAGAAGGAATCGTATGCACTCCAGGAACAATCACACAAAAGACCCAATACAAGCAATATAAGTACGTGGACCTGAAACTAGGAATAAATAACTTATATCCAGGATATAAAGTTAGACAAGTAACTGTAGTTTTTGACTTCTTAGGCGCTCACTACAAAAATCTAAGTAAAGAACTGAACGTGTTATTTGGACAGCAAGTAGCTAGCTTAACCATAGAACGCTCTCAGAAATGGATCATTTCACAGAATTGTGAAATTGTTAAACGTTTTATGTGTTTGTAGTTCTAAGAGAGACTCATTTTAGTTTTGAAGAACTCAAAGTTGATCTTAGCTTCATGTACTATATACTCAATTGATAACTTTTAGTATATTTTAGCTTTAATTATTTTTTCTGTTTTTTGTATCATATCCATTTTATAGATTATTGCAAATTTTTATTTTTATTTATTACTTTTATAATGATGTTGATACATTTAGTGAGATTTTATCAATAAAGTATATAATAATAATGATAATAATAATAATAATAATAATAATAATATTTTCATTTTATTTCTTTATTTATTACTTTTATAATAATGTAAATACTATATAGTATACTTAGTCCACATTGCCTAGGCTAAGCCCGCAATGATGTTGATACATTTAGTGAGATTTTATCAATAAAGTTCACAATAATAATGATAATAATAATAATAAT